TTATTATTATTATTATATTTTGTTGTTATTATTATTATTATTAGGCTTCTCAAGGCTGGTGCGACAGACGCCTGCCCGCTAGGAAACGAAACGAAACAACCTCTGGAGTCTGTTCAAGCATCAGCTGCCAGAAAGTCTGGCCGTGCTGCCCTTGCCCTGGGCTGAGCCACCTCCTGCCAAGGCCCGGAGCGGAGCTGCCAGGATCTGGGAATCTGGGAAGCAGAGGGAAGCACGCTGGGCTGTGGGAGGGTGGGGCGAGGATGCCCGGACCGGTGCTCAGGGACACCCAGGCACCCACTGTGGGATGTAGCTCAGCAGCCCATACAGCCACGTTTCCTCTGACAAGAGGGTTTCTGTCAGGGCATGGGTAGGAGAAGACAAGATCCAGGCAACTAGTCAGGAGTTTGCATGACTCCGATGGCAGACATTTGGAGAACCCGTAGCTGCATCACTCTGCTTGCTCAGGATGGGGGTTTAACTGCTGAGGATGTTCCTGTGAAGTCAAAAATATGCAGCAAATAGGATAAAAGTTGAAATCAGGAGAAGTTCCAGGCAGTCAGCAGCTAAGGACCAAGGGATCTCTGCCTTATATATAGTCATGCCTTCCTTACCACTCAAGATCATGCTCTATAAATACCTTCAAGGTAATGATATAAATGAAGAAGGGGAATTATTTGCAGTCTCCAAAGATGGCAGGATACCCAGCAGTGTCCTGAAGCTATGGAAGGAAATATTTAGGCTAGATCACGCATGGCAGGAGCAAAAAGGGAGGTGGAGACAACCAGGGAGGAGAATATTTCTGATAAGAAAAAATAAGCAGGAAAGGAGTAGAGAAGGCAGCTGCTGCCCACAGGGTGTGGACCTGGCTGCAGCCGCCCATGGGGCTTTGCTGAGGGCTCAGCCTCACCCAACAGGGAGTTTTTCTCACCCAGCTTTTGAGAGAAGCTCGGGCTGAGCCCCCATGAGGGGGCTAGAGCCAGAGGCAGCTCCAGCAACCTGCACAGCCCCTGGCTCCTGCTGTGGGGACACTTGGGGGTGGCAGGCACAAGCTCAGCTCCCCTCCCAGCTCTGCTCCTCATGGCAAAGGCTTTGTCTGATGATTGGGGCTGATTTTCCAAAAAAACCAACTTCCCTCTACGTTTTCCAGCTCCCAAATTACCGAGATGACAGGCAGCATTCCACATCCTGCTTCCATGCAGGTTTGCTTCAGCTGCAACTGTGCTGGCGGGCTCAGATCCTGCCAGGGCTTGGGAATGGGAATAAACTGATTTTTTGGGCTGGGTACAGCTATGGCAGCCACTCCAGCAGGGAGAGGAACTGTCCTTCCTCTTACGTGTACAGGCAACGAGGAGGGGCTGATGCCTCTATCTGCCACAGGACCCACCCCACACGTATCTGTGCTGGGCTTTGGGGGCCTCGGAGCAAAGGGAGGTGAAATATAAGCTTTGCACTCGCAAATTGTCACCACTGTCCATCCAGAGGCAGATCCCATGGCACAGGGGATGGGTTCTGTCCCATAAAAAAAACCTGCACTTTTAAAAGCCTGGTGCAGGAGATGCTAAAGCAGAACAGTGGGGGGAAACAGGACCTTAGAAACAGTGAGAAAAAGCCCCCACTGGTAAGGAAAGTGAACCTCCCCATCCCCACCAGCCCTTGGCTCACCTCTGCCTGGGGCTCTGGCACCCGCTGTTGCTCCAAGACTGCAGCAGCAGGGCAGGGAGGAAAGTGGGGGCACAGTGGGGCTGTGACCATGTGGCTTGTGACTGCCCACGCGACTGTGAGCAAGGGCACAGCCTCTCAGAGTTTCCCCTGGAAGCAGCAGCACTTCCCCAGGCAGGAAAACACCCGAGCGGGCCGGCAGATGCAGCAGCACTTTGGGGACACGAGCATCCCCCGAGTGCAGCCCCTGGGGCTGCCAGCCTGGGCCAGCAGTGCACTGAGAAACAGCAGAGTGTAAAACAGTTGGTGTGCCCAGAGCTTAGCCAGGAGCAGAGAACAGAAAGAGCAGGTCCTCCAGGCACTTCCCCAGAGTCCCCAAAGCAGGGGGCCCTCGCCTTCACACCCATTAGGCCACGGGCACAGGGTGTGCATCTTCCAGGTGTGTCCCAGCCAGGGATGCTGTGGGACATGGGTTCATCCCTCCTTGTGCAGTGGTTTTGGGGAGGGAGAGCTCTCCAACACACAAGGTCCCAGCTTGTGCCTGGTGCTAACCCTCCTTGGCAGGGGCTTTGCTGGGTCTGTGCTGCTCGGATGGGGCCAATCCAGCCCTTGGGGCTTTGGCTGCTAGAGCCAAAGGTGGGAGTGGAGGAGGAAGAGGGGGCACAAGCCTCTCATCCCCTGGGGAAGGGGCTGCAGCCCTGCTTGGAGCTCTCTTGCTGCAAATACCTTTGCACCTGAACACCTGCAGACGCTTGCTTCAGTTTGGCTAGTGCAAAATGTAGGCTGGCAACCACAAAACATGCCCCGAGGCACTGGCAGCCTTGCACCATCCCCACCCTGCTCTGCAGGCAATTCACCCAACGTGACCATGTGGCTTAAGCTCTGTGGCCATCCTGGGGGGGGGGAGGATGACAGTTTCTCACCCACCCTCAGGGAGGAGAAGGTGGTCCCAGAAATCCCATCACTCCCCCCACCACTGCCTTGGCAGCCGGTGAGCAAAGGGACACATGGGGTTGTGCAAGAGCCAGGCAGAGGAGCTGTTAATGCTGGCAGGAATGTGCTGTGCACTCAGGTCCCCGGGGGTTAAAAGGGACCATGAAGAGACACCCCCCCCTGCCTCTGACCCCCCCTGGAGCTGAGGGGCAGGGAATGAAGCAGGTGAACCCATCGCCCAGCCACGGCGGCTCCCAGCACAGCCCAGCAGCATCACTGGGAGCTGTGGGACAGCATCACAGTGGCCAGCCTGAAAAAATACCCACGGCCAGCAGCTCTGCCGTGCTGATGTCCAAGGCAGGGTTCCCTCTGCATGTAACAGGCTGCACGCTCTGAGCCACCGACATCCAGGCAGCCAATTTCCCTGCTCCAGTGCTTTTTTGCAGCCCAGAGCACTGGGATGGGGGGGGGCTCAGGATGGCTCCCCATCCCATCCAGGGTCTTGGCTGTCAGCAGGGCTTCCCCTCCCAGGGTTGATGTGGCAGCAAGGCTGGAGCACGGCCAGCACTCCCGACGCCAGGCAGCGCGGGGAGGCAGGTTTTCCTGCGGCGGGGATTAGCACCCCGGGCACGTCGCAGCCTGCAGGAACTCCCCTGCTTTCCGCTCCCAGGGGGTCAGCGCTGGCAGCAAATCACAAACCACCACGGTGACGAGTTGCAAGGCCTCAGCTTTGTCCCCCCACACCCCCCAACCGCGGGGAGCACCGGGGGGGTTGGGAAGGATGAAGCCAGGGCTCTGCCCTGCCCAGCCACTGACCAGAGCACCCTGTACCCCAGATCTGAGCCCACCCCCCGGGGGGTTGGCAGCTTTTCCCTTCTCCCAGGCAGGTGAAGCAGCTGAGTTCCCCCCTCCCTGGGCTGTCAGAGATGCCTTACCAGAGCTTTCCAGCTACAGCCACGCCGCGGGGTGAGGAGGCAAAGTCAGCTCAGCTCCTGCTGCAGCCTGCGAGACAGAGGGGACGTCAGCACCCCCGGCAGCTGCCCCTGCCCCTGTCCCTGTCCCCAGCACCCCCCACGCCAGCGCCCAGGGCTGCCTCCTTCCTCCTCCTCCTCCTCTCCATCCCGCAGCTCACACCCGCTCCCTCTGATCTCTCATGTGTGAAGAGGGGACGATTCTCTGCTCCACTTCATCAAACCCCCCCGGGGACGGGAGAGGAGGCGGCTGGAGCTGCCCCGAGCGACGCTGCAGGGCCGGAGGGCAGCACAGGCACCCCCAGCCCACTGAGGGCTGTTTCGGGGCAGAAGTGAAGCTGGTTCATCCGGACACACCAGCATTTCCAGCCTTGCCTCTGTGTCTCCAGACAGCCGGGACTGGTGGCAGGGAGGGTCAGCCACCAACTGGGGATCTTGTCTCCAGGGGTGGCAGTCACCTTCTGCATCCCCAGCAGCACAGACAGATGCTATGGCAGGAACCACCACAGGGTCTGGGAGCACCTTGTGCTGCTCAAGCCCTGACTCAGCCAGAGAAACATGTTTTAGCCAAGTTTTTCAAAAGGGACAGTTTCTTGCTGCAAGTGTGCATGATGGTGGGGGGGGGGGGGGAATCACACAGCAGCAGCAGGGGCTCAGGGCAGAGCTTTGGGTGGGAAGCAGAGCAGGACAGGGCCCTGCAGAGCTGGGACAGTCACTCGCCTGGCTCTGCCACCCACTCCCAAACCCTGCACAACCTGCCCCTTCTTCCCCTTTCATACTGAAAAAGAAATCTCTCTCTAGCCAGCTCTGCTCACCCAGTGCAGGACAGAGGCTTCATCTGCCCCCGAGGGGCTCAGCTGTCCAGCACAGAAGGGATTCAGCACCCCCAGCTTCCCACCCCAGCGCAGCATCCCAACAGGTTCCTGTCCTGGCTGGAGCTTGGGTTCCACATCTCATCCAGAGGCAACATCTGAGATGGATGGAGCACAGGCAGGGTCAGTGTAACACTGGGCAGGTGCCTGGGGGGGTGACTGCCATGCAGAGGACATTCCACGTCTATTTGGGTGGCCTCCCCTTTCCCCCCCGCTAATAAGTTTTGTCACTATTTTTAGCGCCTTTTGATTAGGATAATAAGCAGGGGCTGATTGACAGCTCTTTAGGACTTTGAATGGTTTGTAATTTGTACTTGACTAATATTCTCTGGCAATAATTGCACAGGGGGATGGAGGGTGGGGGAAGCTGCAGTCTCGACTCCAGGCTGCAGCACATACAAATGAGGCTGCGCCGCATCCGCACGTGGTGCCCCCCGTCCCCAGCGCCCCTGCACGCTGTGCCACTGAGCTCCTGGGCACACACTGCTCAGGCCGTGGATGTACTTGGACCCAACAGGGCCAAAAAAAAGCGACCAGGGAAAGCCTCAGGCTGAGGGTCAGGCATGTGCTGAGGTGGCGAGGTGCAAGGTCCTCCTAAGGGGAAGGGAGGAAGGGACGGGTCCCCCAGAGGGATGGACGCACTCGCATCCCTCACACACCCAGGTTTGGTGGCTGAAAGTGGCACAGCCTGGCCCACCCGCTCAGTAGTGGGGTTGCAATCCTAACCAGTGTTTGGCTGGCACAGGCTCGGGCACCCTGCCAGGGCTGCCACCCTCACGTGCCTCCCTGTGCTGCTGGGTCCTGCATTCAGGGTCTTCCCAGCCCCCCCCAGTTCACCCCCGTGTCATGGCTGGGCTGAACCCACAGCCAGAGGGGAGGGTGTCAGGGCTGAGCCCAGCCAGGAGAGAGCTGCAGCAAGAGGCCACCCCCGCCCTACCCCTCTCCAAAAGCAATTAAAAATGAAGCACACTCAGCTGCACAGCTCAGCTCGGATCAGATCACGGCACGCGAGACAGCGACGTCCCCATCCTCCCCCCCAGCATCCCCGCTCCTCTGACACCAGCATCCCCAGGGATGCTCCCCAACAAAACTAACTGGCAAGTCGGGATGCAGGAAGAGGCTGGATTTTCTGCCCTACCTCCCCACGGCAGAGATGCTCTTGGAAAGACACCAGCGAGGGGGAACTGGCTGCTCCCCGGCTGTTCTCTGCGGGGCTGGATGGCTCAAGGATACAATGGCCGTGGTTAAGGCCAGGCTGCCAGCGGGGCTGGCGGAGGGGGAAACGATCTTATCTTCTTTTCAAAGACACTAACAAAAGACACTGATTGGGAGCAGACAAAACAGCAGCACGGCAGAAGCAGAAACCTTGGGAGATGCTGAGCCAGGCTGGGGCCCCAACACCAGACACCGAGCCCTGGGGAGGGAGACATCGCCGGCAAAACAGGCTCTGTCCTTGGGGCTCCACCAGCAAAGGGGATGGGTGGGTGAGGGGCTGGGGGTACCAGTGCCCAGCCCCTGCCGGGTGGTGGAGCGAGCTGAGCCGTGTCCCCAGCGAGCAAAGCCCCGTCAAGATTAATAACGGCACCTGTCTCACGCCAGACTGAAAAATGAAGCGTGCGGGATGGCGGGCGAGACAAAGCAGCCTCCCAGCACCCAGCCCTGCAGCAGGCACTGGGGATGGGAAGGAGCAGAGAGTGGTGAGCCCAAACCCACCCCGACCCGCTCCATCCCCTCTGCACGCAGCCGACCCCCTGCCAGCAGGACTGGGGCACAGTCATGGACACACAGAAGCTGCCCACAAGGTGTGCTATGAAAAACACAACCCAGGTTGGAGGCAGGCAAGAGGCAAAGGGCACCAGGCCATCCCCTGATAGTGGGGTCAGCCTGACCTGGCTCAGCCCAACAGCCCCCTCCTGCCACCCACATGCAGCAGGTGTGTCCCCCCTATAGAAAAAACAATTCCTATCCCCTGTCCTGTGCCATGGAGCTTTGCTCAGTACAAGAAGGGGAACACAGGGGCATATGTTTGCCAGGCTGGGACCAGCCCCACTGCAATGAGTCCTGAGGGCTGGTGAAAAACTGGGAGCTGCTCCCCTAGCCCTGTACACCAGGGTTTGGTGTCACAGATCCTACCCTGTCTGGCTGACACCATGAAGGCACACCTAGGTCATGCCTCCAGCCCTTCTCCTCTGCAAGGACACTTGTTTCTCACTTATACTGATTCTTAAAACAAAATAAAAGATGTAGGGATAGTCACTTCATCTCTCGGCTCCAATCTGGCAATCAGGGGAGCCACTTCTATGGGCAGGTGCCCCCTGATGCCCACCCAGAACCCCCAGTTTGCTCAGTGACTGCATGTTGAAGGCACCTGTGTTAAGGCACCCAAGCCCTCCTCTTACTCCCCCCAGCTGATGGAAAACTGTCCCAGATGAAAGGAATCACTGTCGGAGAAGAGGGGAGGGCAGCATGGCTGCTGCACAGGGGCCCAGCTACACACTCCCCCCAGACATAAGTCCCAGCCCCTCCTATACAACCCTGTCAACTCCCGTTAAATTTAAAACCATGTTAATTAAAACTGCACAGCCCAAGCTAGCAGGGGCCAGTGGGTCAGGAAAGGGGAAAGGATAATTAAATCAAGCATCCAAATTCACCCTCCGAAGCATGGGGGAGAGTCTGGGTCGGGAGTGATGCAAAATGCCTCTGAAAAGACATGTCAAAACAGGGAGTTTAAAAGACTAGAGCCAATTCATGAAGCACAAAATCAAGTTCTGGATGTTTATCTGTCCAAGGAACTGGGAAACACCAAGCACACACGCAGGGAGCTGTGCAGGGAGCTCAAGCTCTCCCCACCATGGCAGGGCCAGCCCCTCGACAGGCAGTTTTTGGCTTGCTGGGGTGATGGGCAGTGGCTGTGCCAATGCCAGGGGCTGCACACAGCTGTGCTGCCCCCTGCAGCCCCCACAGCTGGCCGAAGGCAGGGGAAGCCCATCAGCAGGTCCCCTCCAAGCACTGTCTTTTGTAAGGCTGACACGGAAAAGCTGCAGGCTTTATCTCCCTGAAATAACACACGTGGCTGCCCAGAGCCAGCGGGACATGCGGCAAGTTGCGCTTGCTGGTGCCAAGCTGCTGAGTGCTCTGTTTTATCCTTTTTCTCCCCCAAAAAGAAGGAAGAAGGGAAGGTGGCTGTTGCCACGCCGTGTCACTTCCCCATCACCACGCTGAGGCAGCGCTGGGTGCCAACAGGGACCACCACTTGAGGTCCCTGGTGCGTGGGCAGCTCGGGCTGAGCCAGCACCATGCTCAGCCACAGCCCAGGTCTCTGGGAGCTGGCAAAGCTTTGCACACTCAGATCTCCCTCAGAGGCAGAAGGTTTTCAATGTTCTGCAGAGTGAAGGGCTCTGGAGGGAGCTGGGAGCTGCCTTTTCCAGCCAACATGCCACAGAGCGAGCTCCTGGCACAGCACTCCCGGGCATTCCACCCAGAGCTGTGCTGTGTGGTGGGTGCTGGGAGCTGCAGCCCTTGCCCAGGGGCTGGGTGGGATGCCAGCAGGGCCCCAGCACCCCT